AGAGCATAAGCTTTCGTGGGCTACAACCCACTTCTTCGGATGCATATCATCCGAAGAAGTGGGTTGTAGCCCACGAAAGCTTATGCTCTAATAAATTTGTTAGTCCCTAAGGTGCCACAAGTACTCCTGTTCTTTTTGCGGATACAGACTAACACGGCTGCTACTCTGAAACCTGTTAAACTGCCCTTGTTGCTGACACCTGTTGTTAGCAATTTTTTGCTAACTAAGATTATTTTCTTAGTGTAGATAAGGCCTGAGATAGAGAGTAGAGTTCACACCTTTGCTGTTGCTGTTTTTTGGTTGGAGATAATTCTTTGCCAGACTGGGTTAAAGGTGACCTACAAAACAGTGGGGAGGGAAATAGGCTTTTTTGTTTTGTTATGACATAAAAAGGCCTGAACATTTTTGGAGGGGTTATTCTGGTTTATTTTTACTTCAGAAATTCAGGTTTTGTCTAACCTGTAAGATTATGGCTGTGGATAACTGAATCTGGGAAACAGAATGGGAGTAAGAACCAACTGCCCTCTAGTTTTCTAGACTACAGTTCCTATCATAGGGTCCCTAAAGCATCTACTCCAAACTATATTTGGATAGCCTGTGCATAGTTGTGAACATGTCTAGTTTGGACATATAGTGTGCAACAGATGTTTTGGGGGACTAAAAGATGGTTAGGATGCCAAATTACTCTAGTATTTACAAGGTCTAAGACTGGAGAATTAGAGAGAAATACCACAAAGCCAAGAGAATGAAAATTGAGCAATTAGGAGGAGAAAGAATTTTTAGTTAAATCTAACTGTATGTTTTTGTTTTATACTTAATATCTGTCATATAATTTTATACTACCATCCATCATTATAGTATCTGAATACCTTCCACATAAAATCAGTAGCAAAGTCTTTAGTGGGTTTAATGGAATTACTGGCACTTCTCTCTCAGATCTCTACTTGGGTTAGGTTTTGTTTTTGGTGGGAAGGTTGTAAGAGGTCTGGGAATAAAAGGGGTGTTTAAATTACGAATGTCACTTACACTGGAAAGGCTCTCTCAAAGAGGAAGGCTTTGCAACATTTCCTAAAGATGATCAGACTCTGGCTTCACATGATGTCCTCTAAAAGACTGTTCCATAGCGGGATCTCCTCAACAGAGAATGCTTTGTCCCCAGCTCTCATGTTTTGTCCTGGGCTTTGCAATCCACATTATTGCAGTGGAGCACAGCTACTGTAATCAAAATTTTGTCTGATGTAGCTGGGGCTTGACGCATTAATTGCTTTAAAAATCAGGACCAAGGTCTTTAAACTGGCATCACAAACTGATTGGGAGCTAGTGTCAGGACTTGAGCATAGCACATCTTGAAGAAAGGAAGCCATTTTTAAATACTCAATACTCCCATTCCTTTAATTAAGGTACAAGCGCTAACAATATACATTTTTGGAGACCCCCAACAAGTTCTGCAATAAAATCACAGAAGATCTGAGTTGATGTTTCTGGTATTTCTATTATTTAAAAAATAAAAAAAGGCAAGATTTTTTTTTTTTTTTTAAGTGGCCTTCTCCTTCCAGCCTCTTTACATATGATGAAGAAAAAAAAGACAGGCACAAGCCCAATTTAAAAACAAATTATTTGAGGTCACCTATAAGAGGGCAGTGAGCAATATCAATGACAAATTGCAGCTTAGACCCCAATCTTGCAAACAGTGAAGCCAAACTGATTTAGTTTACACTCACATGTGTAAAGTTATGCATGTGCCCAAGTCTTTGCCAGACTGCAGCATATTTGAATCTTCTGAAAACCATGTTGTGTATGTTTAATAAAACACTTAAAATCCATCACTTGAAAGGGGTCCCAGCACTAGTCTTTATGCCTGGCAAAGTGAGGCCAGGATGTCTGAAAAGTGTGATGCCACAAAGGGAGCAGACTTTGTTAGGCTGTCCAAAAAAACCCATACAAAAAACCAACTGAGCATGCTCAGAAGTGACATCTCAGTACTTATATCCCACAATGCAAGGAGCTCCTGAACCCCAGTTTAAATTAAATGTGGTGCACTGTATGTCATAAATAATACAGCAGTGCCAGAGTGTAGTTGGAAAGGGGCTATTGGGTTGTATCATTTTCCTGCTACTTTTCTAAAGCAAGATGCCACTCTTCCTCTCTCCTACTGTTCCTTAAATAGTGGATTTCCTTCCCACAGCTCCACATTCACTCCTGCTCCCGGATACTGATAGCTCCTTTCCTTGATGTAAATCATAACAAACAGCTCAGATTTGCTTACCTTATATAGAAGATGCTTCTCATACAAATTAGAAGGATCTCTGACTCAAAGCTCTTAGGTTATATACAACCCGAGTCACTGAAATACTATTAACAATGTCAAACTTTCTTTAATATTACAGGCAAAGGAATGCAGGCCAAACTTTCAAAGAGATCTGTTTGTGAAAATTCCTGTAATAAATGTTTTTCTTTCTTGATTACATATATATTTTAGTTATCAACAGAATTTCAACAAGATGTAAAAATAACAGTCTATTAGGAAACTATTTAACAGCATACAAATTAAACATATTCAAGGCCCTACTTGAATCGTGGGATGATTATCCAAAAATTGCATCCGAGTTGCAGAAAAGCCATGGAAAAACAAGTAAAAATAATAATGGACCTTATTATTTGCAGTAATAAGGTCCATTATTATCCACAATTTTCCACTGTGGGCTACACAGGTCTGAGAGCAGGGGCTCCTGCTGTTAGCTTACCCCCCTGCTCACACTGTCAGCCCCACATACAGCAGGGCTCCCGCTGTCAAAATGGCAGTGGAAGTCTAATCTTGCGGGATCTGCATGTGATGGGTTCCCCCTGAGGTGCTACCTGGAACTGGGGTACCACTGAGCCCTCTGATGCACCAGCCTGGGCTTCCTCCCACACTGTGCTGCTGTGACAAACTGCAGACCTGCTCCTGGTTTTACACTTCCACCAGCATACACACAGGTAGGGACAAACCCAGCTGCAGTTACATGCAGGCTCTCTGCCTAGCCACTGCATGAACCAAAAGTAGAGGTAACTCTCAGCTCCCCACGCACGCACCCCCTCTGGAGCATAAATCCAAAATTATATCGTCTTGTTCTTCACATGGAA